GCCGTGGGAGGCTGGGCCGGCCCGTGCAGACGCCCCTGCCGCTGGATGAAAAGGAAAATGCTTTCTTAATGAGCTCAAGCGAGGCCTGTTCTCCCGCGCTCGCTGGTGCCCTAAAAACCCAGCCCAAGGCTACGGAGATTAAAGTCACCTTTGTGGGGAGAGCCAGCCCGCCGCTCGGGGAGCACTTGGAGGGCGGGGCTGGGGGGGTAGGGGCCTCCCGTCTCCCCACATCAGAGCAGCCGGCAGAGGGACGGGCACCGGCCTCCCCCACCGCTCAGAGGCAGTTTCCCGCTCAACACAACGGGCAGAGCCAGGGCTCATGCGCCGGAGCAAAGCGCCCTCGGAGGTGGGCACCATTCCTCCCCCTAGGACAGGCGGGAAACGGAGACCAGAGGGGGGGCCCCGGCCTGGGGCACACCCTGGGGCAGAGGAGGTGCCCGTCCAGCCGGCCTGGCTTTCCAGGGACCTGGCGAGACACCCCGGGCCCCCTCCCCACTTCCCAAGGAAGAGCAGGCGGCAGGGCTGGCGAGGGGGGGCCCCACAGGAAGCGGCATTGTTCCTGGAGCTGCGATTCAAAGAAACACAGGATGCCAGGCTCTCCCCCACCATTGTGGCCGCTGCCACCGCCGCGCCGGCCCACTCCCGGGAGGAGCGAGCGAGGACCCTGTGGGCCAAAGGCCCAGCCCCTCGCCCTGGACAGCAAGGCCCAGCACAGTGTGGCCCCTGCTGCCTGGACCCCCGGTCACTGCCATAGCTGGGCGTTTCTCAAACACGCCCCCCCACCCTTGCTTGTGCTTGTGGTGCCTGGACGGCTCTTTCTGGGCATTTCCGCTCGATCTAGCTCAAAGGGCACCTCCTCCAGGAAGTCCCCCTGCCCGTCACGTGGGTCAGCTGCCCACTCTCAGACTCATACAGCCTCTCTGGGTTTCCCCCACCGCAGCCCTGACTTCTCCCCCTCGGCCAGGGTCTGAATCACCCAGCCCGGGCGGGAGAGGCGGCCCCTCTGCCGACAGGAACTGATGCCAGGGGGCAGGTCGGGCCCTTCCTGGGTGGGGTCAGCTGCAGGATGGAAGAGCAGCCCTACAACTGGGGGGGAGCGCGCCCCTCCCTGCCTCCGAGTGCCCGCTGGGCTCTCTAACAAAGCCCTGGAAGGAAGGCTTCCCATTCCAGAGACGAGGAGACTGAGGCTGAGAGAGGCTCTGGCCCCCGACCCCTCAGCTCTGCTGGGACTGGTCCCTGAGACCCTGCAGGTGCAGAGAGGCCCCAAGGTCCAGGACGGAGGCAGGCGCGAGGGCTGGTGGCAGCCCAGAGAGGCTGAGCCAGCCGGAGGTCACACAGCAGGAGGCGGCGCGGGGAGGG